GTAGTAGAGAACCTATTGAAGTACTGTGACCTCAAACCCCAATTGATTTATCACCATGAATCCAGGTTTGTTTTCTCTTCTAGTGATTTCTTGATAATTTGACATGAGGCCTTTTGACATGAGAATCTAGGATTTTATCAATCTATTTGAAATTAATATCCAACATGATTATGTCAAACTTGAATAATTATTCACTGAACAGATTTAGAGAAATGGGTGTGTTTGAAGTACTGCTAACTTTGGCATTGGAACTTTTATATTATGCCCTATTTGGTACCCATTTTTTTCACACTTACGATCAATATAGGATTAGCTTCAACTCCTCTATGATCATATTTGTGATTAATTTTCCTTTCTCTTTTAGCTATAATTAAAATACTACTGAATTAAAATACAAACGAAATGAAAGAAAGGCATGATCAGTATTGATAACGTTTCTTAAGTCTATATCTCCATTACATGAGAAAATGATCTTTTCAGTATTGGTATAAATGATCTTTTCCTCACGTTCGGCTATAGCAAGAGCCCCTGGACACTATGCGCTTGTTACACAACAATCCTTTAGAGGAAGGGCAAAACAAGGGGGGCAACGAGCTCTATGTGCTCTGATTCATTATTTGGGATTTTGATCCAAGAGCACTATCAAATTGTTTACCTGGATTTAATCATATACAATTTGAAGGATTTTGTAGGTTCATTGATCAGGGTAGATACTTTTTCAAATCTATTGTCGATACTAAGTAGCAGTCAAAAATTTGTATCCATTTTTCATGATATTAAACATGACGAATATTGTGACTATTTATATTGATGACAATATGCATTTTAAGTTTAGGGCCTAAATTTGTATTCTTGCTAATATTGGTTTATGTGATGTCTGTTATGCCGTAAAAAATTTGAAAAATTGAAAAACAAAAGACAAAAATAAAATAAAATAATAATAATAATAATAAATAAATTTTTATTATTTAATGTGATTGTGTGATTAGAATAGTCTTGTTCATAATTGATGAGTGTTCGGAATTGTTTATGAAGCATATATTATGATTAGGTGATAATTTTTTTTGCTAATTGATGCTTGTCATTGTAAGTGTATTATTTTGAGTACAATAACCACAATAATCATTATGTATTTCTGTTGATTACTTTGATAGATTAGGTTGAATGGACTTAGATTGTCAAATCCATAATCATATCATGAAAAATAACGACTTAACATATTTAAAGGATTAGTTTCGAGGTGGTTAAGCTGGTATTAGTAGCTATTTAGATATGTGTTAATTTCGTGAGAATAATAATTTTGAGCTTAATTGGAATTGATTTATAGCAATTAAAGCTCAGACAGATTGCTTTTGATCAATATGACGAATGCAATCGAAAGTGATTCGCAAGTTTCAAGAGCTATGTTCAATATTTTAAAAGTTTGAGGACTTGATTGCAAATTTTTGAAACGTACATCGGTTCAACTACGGATCAATTGTGGAAGATAAAGATCAAATTATAAATATTTCAAAACGAATGTCCCTTGGTGCAAATAGAAAGTTTCTCGAATCATGATCGTTAGTTTGTGATAGAGAATTTTCGGTAATGATTTGACAAGTTTTTATGCAATTCAAATACGCTACAACAACTTGCACATTTTATGTCAGATTCATGAAGACGATAGGATAGATATGAATTTTAGGACTCTGCACGAATCAAATTTATAGAATGTCATTTTCTTTTTAACAATGACATGACACAGTTCCTTGAAATCTAAGCACCTCTGCTGCAGTGGTTATAGCCTTTCCTTATCCTTAATAATTTGTGGATAATATTACCAATTGCAATTGGTGTGAAGTGACTCGTCACTCGTTCTCATGTTATTTTGGTGGTTTGAAATTTTCGATTTGTTTACAAATAAAATCGAATCGAGTCTTGTCATGAATAGATTATTTCTTGTAGCTCAAACCTTAAAGGGTATATTGCTTTTCATCATTTTAAATTGTTTTAATCTTGTTCTTATCCATACACAAACTCACAAAACAAAACAAAAATGAAGAAAGCCTTATCCATCAAAATACCGTAGCCTAAATTTGCCTAGAACTGAACATAGTCTAATTCGGTTCTCTTTAAAATCGAATCAGATCCGAAATTTTCGAATATTTAGAAAATGGAATCGTCAGATCCAAATTTAATTATGGAACTGTTCGGATTCGATTCCATTCGGTTCCCGAAACGATTCCCGGATTTTGTACTATAATTAACTTTTTAATATTTATAAAGTTACATTAATTCAACTAATAACATGTTTAATCTTAGCTCTTACAAAATAATGTAATTCAATCTTATGTATCTTTTATTTATCTCTTTCATGATTTCTACATAGATTTGATTATTAAAATAACAAGAAGAGGAAGGTAACGAGTTCACAATAATTAAAAGAGGTGCGGTCGAGCTTTAATTCGATTTCTCCAAAACTGTAAGAACGCTAAAAGACTTAGGTAAAACTTAGGCCAATCTTGATTAAGTTAGGTTTGGATTGAAAATTAGAAATTGGAAAATTATATTTTTGGGGTTTGAGGTAAATTAATTAGTTAGAAATTTATTTAGAAATAAATAAAATAACTTGATTCATTTAAAATAAATAAATTAAAAAATTATGGAGATTCATGTTTGATTTAATTTTTCGGTTCTCAATTTAGAATCAAGAATCGAACCAAACTTTTCGATTCTCAATTCAAATATCTGTTCAGATATTTGACTTAAGAAGAATCTCTCAGATCAATTTGGTTCGGGAGTTTTGTCCAACCTAAATTTGCCAGAGTTTAGACTATATCAAATTTTAATTTCTTAATTATATTATTACAAATTTTAATAATTAAATGAGTCGATAATATATAGCATTCAAGCAAGGAATTAAACAAACTTTTTCCTTTTATGGTTATTTAAAAAAAAAACCTTATTTAAACTTGATTATTATGATAAATAGTGACCAAAAAACACCGTGAAATACTTAAATAATTCATTATAGCTTTCAATACATAGCCGTCACAACTAATACCCTTATTAAATCATGGAGAGTTAGTTAGTCATAATCCTTTGTTATCCATTCACCACATTGCCGTATTCTTGAAATAAATGGCTTTATCTTAACTCACAAAGCAAACTACACGTGAATGTGTATTGGGGTTTGTTAAAACTATAAAAACTTTGGCCAACTTCTCTTGCAACAAATTGAAGTAGACCCTTTTATGATTGACACGAGAGTGAGTTAGTTAAGGAACTGAATTTATTTGCACTCCAAAATTAAAAGAGCCACGATTTTTAGGTGGGTATGAACTTCGGAAAAATAAGAATTCGAGTTGGTAGTGGTTGGACGAATAGAGATTTAATGGGTGGTCTAGTAAATTTGAGGTCAAGTATATGAATTATATTTAATATTTTATTGCTTTTAATATTGTAATCTAGCAAAAGATTTGTCGCAATGCATCATTGTTAAAGGACGCTCCAATGTATACATGATGTTATAAGGTGTAAAAGAATTGAATAAAGCTGCTCTGACGGATATAGAAATAGGGTTTAAAAGTAGGTGCTGCGTAACTACGTACTTTTTTTTTAATGGCCAACCAGATATTGACACGTGGCACATGGATTTAATCACTATCCTCATTCCTGTTTTTATAGCAAAATTGAAAAGAATTTAACGCTAATTGTCTAATGTACTATAAATCTTTCGTTCCAGTGTATCTAATATTATAAGACATGACGGGATTTTAGAATGACCTAATGTACTATTTTTTTTTTTTTTTTAAGCATGGCACCGATTATTACAAATCTTTAATAGGGTTGTTGATGCATGTCACATATCTTAAATAAATTTAGCATATAGAAGATTAATAGAATAATTTTCAAGGGTTTTGCTCTTAATGTAGCTTAGAACTATTATTAGGTGGAACTAATACCATGGCAGTTGAGTTAAGTCAAATGATTATATCATTCATTAAGGATAATCTTAATTAACAAACAAATAAAATTATAAAAATATATGCATTAGTTTATTTATTTATTTATTTATTTTAATTCAAGAAAAAAATAAGTAAAATGTCCATGTACCTTGTGCAAGAAGGTCAATATGCATTATGAATTGGGTGGGTGAACCATAAGTTCTTAGAAGTCTATCCAAACTACTTAATTCAATATTATTTTAATTTCTTTTTCAAAATTTGTGGCTCCCTTAATTAAGAAGCCTTCAAAGTTGAAAATATGTAAAAATAAAACGTTATCGTTTTCAATTGATTAGGATATTTGGACTTGAAGAGTCAAATATTGAAAAATAGAGGACATGTGGTCCCAATCCTAATGTTTATTCTTTATAAAATCAATATTATTTATATGGATATAAAAACAAATTTAAATTGGTGTGAACACTAGCTTGAAAAGATTAGGACTAATTCAAATTTTGTTCAATAATTAATGGAAAAGTAGTGTATCAAGACTTTGATGCTTTGCTTAGTAAGGTCAAGTTATAATATTTGAGACCATTAAAGTAATATACTATGTAAGACGAACATCAACACGCTCTTTGTTAGATGGATAGATTTCTAAGCACACGAGAAAAATAAATCGCATATAATTTTTAACTAAATAAGATGGTCAATAACTTCCATTTTATCAAACATTTAAGTAAAAAATTTATATCTACGGTTAGATCCTACTTCACTCTATCTACATGAGAATCGTGATAGGAGCTAGGAACATGATCGTGCCCTGGGCCTGACTCTAAATTTTTATTTACCTTTTTAGATGGTATTTAAAAAAATTTAAGTAAATGTTCATGAAAAATGGGAAAATTTTAATTTCCACCGTGATTTGCCTCCCGAGAATCTACGGCGAGGCAGGAGGAGGGAAGGACCATCTCATTTCATTATCATCTCTATTGTCATTTTTGTTATTATCAATATTCTTCCTAGCATTGTTGTCATCATCGTCGTCAATCTTTATCATTTTTTTAATGACAGGGGAATTCGCAGTCGTTGCCCTTCATGTGCGCATTGGATAAACCCTCGGATTGACACAATGTCTACAAATTACGCCAACTAGATAAACTGCACTAAGCAATCTTTATCTATTTATTTGTGTGTGGTGTTGGGGGAGGTTATGTTGGAGTTGAGGGTGCGTGGGTAGATTTTATATTATTTTATTTTGATTAGGTAAATAAATTTGTATTGATCAAAATTGAGTACAACTACAAATGTGAAATAGAATAGCAACGGCCCCCGGGGTATAGCCTAGTGGTGCAAAGGACAGGAATGAGGTTATCTCATGCCTTGCTGGCAGCCGCAGTGTGAGGGTTCGATTCTTGAGACATGGAATTGGACTCCTTGTAGGCGCAGTGTACAGACAGCTCTTGTTCTCTGGCCTACTGAGGCACATTCCGCGATTTACCTCCTTCACAAATCTCTAGGGGCGGGGCGGGACCCTCAAACTTCTTCCTATTTTTTTTTTTTTTTTTTTTTTTTTTTTTTTTTTTTTTTATATAAAGAATAGCAACGTATGAACAACACGAATGGCTGTCACATACCAGAAAGTGGGCCTACGGACCCTTTTAACAATAATAGTCCCCCCAAACTAACAAGTTTGGATATGTTTTAACTGAAAGTTCATGAACATTATGTGGCATTCTAATCCTCGAAATGACAATCTGATTTTGTTTAAGGAAATCCACACGCAACTTCCAAATTTTCCTTATCATAATCAATTATTTTGGGATCAAATCAGCTTAGAATTAATTAATTACGTTGCATGAAAGCAATAACATATTTCAATATATGTATATATTGTTGGAGAAAACAAAAGTGGGCCCGGCTTTTTTTGCTTGTTTAATTCACTTTTGACGAATGATTTCCAAAAATAATAGAAGATTGTCTCCTTTTTCTTGGTAACATGCATCGACACATCATTACAGGAATCAATTTCGGATTAAGCTAAATATATTCATACCACAGTCTTTAATGATTAGACTACATTTTAATTGAATGAAAGGTTCATAATCTTTACACATTTATCACATTTATGTTTCAAACCTTTTTCATCATACTCTTATTCTTAAATTATCATAAACAGCTCCTAATTGTGGTTTCTCTCCAAAATTTCCTTTAAGATAAGAGTAAAATTACTCATTTGTCCGTCGTATATTCGTATATTTCTATAAGCAAAACAAATAATAATGCAAAGAATACAATTAAATATTTGATTCTCATTTTAAAGCACGTTAATAATTTTTTAATGAAAAATCATAATTAAATACAAGATTTTCTTGTCAATGAAATGTTAAAAATAAAAATATGATGAAGAAAAAGATTGGGATATAAATGTAATAATTAATAAAGGTTAATGACCTTTAATGTAATTAAAATGTGGTGTATTTAAAAAAACATTAAAAAGTGTTGTGAATATATGACCACCCTTTGGACTAATGCAATTTGCCCCGTTTGGCCTTTATCCTCTTTCATTTTTTTCTCTTTTATTTTTAATCATACAATCTTTCATAAAATAATATTACACGTAAATCGAAAAAAATTTATTCTTTTTCAACCACACATTTAAAAAAAATATTATTCCAAACAATAAAATTTAGAGGGGGAACGGGGGTGGAATAGTTTGAAACTCGTACAAATGAAGAGGAAAAAATGTATTTTTGGAAAATTGACAAAAAAATTGTATAACTAGACATTATTTAAAAAACAAAAATTGATTAGTACATTTCAGTCCCTAAAAGCTTTGACGTGACACTAAAATATATGAAAAAACTATGGTAATAAATTATTGGCCAAATCCAAAAATGATAGAATAATTATGTTTTATTAAATTATAAAGGTGTATTGAGCAAGATCAATGATGTTCGAACTGTCTTTTAAAATATTGAGGAGGCAAAGTATCCATGCTTATCTTTAGTTATTCCTTTACTTATTTGTTTTACTATTCCAGTAAAATTTATGACATATTCGATAGTAATTATGAGAATTGATTTTTTTATAGTTAGAGAAAAAAGTAGATCCTACTTACGAGTGAAGAAGTCAAAAATAACGACTGAAATAGTTAAATAACGGTCAAAAAATCAATTCTTTGGAGTGAAATATTGCTACCAAACAAGGGCTTAATTGGTAGATACCTTTCTTAAGTTAAATTCATTAAGGTATATCTTTATAATCTTTTTTTCAACTTTTTTGATAGAAAAACGACTATTCTTCTACTCCATAATTTAATTTATAAGTTATGATTATGACTGCATAACACATATGTTACATCATCAAATATATATGTTTAGTCATGTAATCATAGCCATGACTTACAATAACGTAATTATTATAAGTTGAAGGCAAAATATATCATAAATTTATAATGAGATTATGAAGTGGAAAATAGTCGACGTTGCTTGAATTGGACATACTTGCCAATTCGATAAAATATCATTTTTGACTCTTGAATTTTCAAATTTTCACTAAACGTGCAACACAATAAAGATAATACTCTGTCTGTTCCATAAATATGTGCTTGCTTTGCGTTTTCATTTGTCACAAATTATAGACGACTTTCTTTATTGAGATTATAGATGATTTCTTAATTTTTTAATATATCTCAATTTAATATACCATATTATCAACAAATATGAACTAAACATATTTAAATTATTAGAAATTGAAGGCCTAGGGACTCTTTCCTTCGTACTTGCCAATGGTATTTGGTAACAATGGTTGTTGACAATTCCCATGAAACTCTTTCATTTCATAGAAGATTTTTTTTTTTTTNTACGTGTCGAGACATGATGGACACTTTAAAAAATGAAAGAAAAACAGCCAACTACTTTCTGCCAAATCAGTCTGTCATTGAATCACTGTTTTTAGGCTTGTCTGACTAGCTATATTCTAATGACTAAGTTCAATCAGACATGAGATTTATGTTGGAAACTTTTTTTTTAAATAACATTATGATGTCATTTTTCTCAAAGAGTTATTGGTCTCCAACAAATTTGACTCGGCCGTGTGAGAGAACATTTGTAAGTAAATTGATGCATTTACTAAATCAATTTTAAAAGGAAATTTTAGAAAAAAAAATACAAGGTAATAATTTATTAAATAATTAGTTTTTCTTATGAAAAGTCATAGAGCAAGAGAAAGAAAGAGAAAATCAAAATGGGGTATGGAATATAGTTTCCAAATTAACCGTTCGACACTTCAATCAAATAATCCAACGATTCTAAGTAGTTGATTGTTACATTTGCAAAGCGAAAATTTAAAGCATAGCTAAATTAATAATAACTTTCATAAATAAGTGTAGTTATTTGATGTTACGAACAAAAACATTAATAATGTTAAAATCGTAAGTGATTGGTTCAATCATGATGATGTGACACGTAACGACTATTTGTACGATTAGTATGATAATAGCATCCCATAGGGCTCGTTAAATCTCATATGCATTATTTTACTTTGTTGGTATGACTCTGTAAAAGATGGTTATGCTCATGTTTGAGAACTATTTTTTTTATTAAAATACATTTTTTAACAGTGATTTGACCCACTTTAACCATATATTTTTCAATAAAATAATATTACATGCAAATACAAAATTTTTCTTTATTTTTTAACTGAACATTTCCCATTCAAAAATTTATTTTTTGACATGAATGAGACTCAGACAAGGACTATATGGAGACGTAAATATTTCTTATAATTATTTTCAACATGCTTTTGTGTGATACTATTTTTAGCAAGTGACTAAGATTTGACTTCGTTATTTTCAATTTCCAAATTTTCATTAGATCATATTGATTTTTCATATTCTTTTGTGTGACACAATTTTGAATGACGTACATTTTTCTTTTTCTATTTTTCATGACGTAAAATCTTATCAAATTTAGTATGCATAGTGCGTAGTAAATTTATTACTAGCATATAAAATTTAAAATACAAATAATGAGATCAACCACTAATGTTTTAACTAACAAATTAATACATGGTATTTACCAAACGCGTCGTTAATGGATTAAAGATGGCTCAAATAATTTGAAGACCTTAGACAGAAAAATTAAAATAAATAAATAAATAACGAGGTCTTAAGAATAATCATAAAAAAAACAAAAATCAAACGAGAAAGTGACCACGGACAAAATTATTGATTCTACCAACGAAATTCAATAGTTGCCGATGATTGAGACAAAATAGCTGATAAAATGACTGTTATTATCGATGGACGTTCATCGGCAATTAGTGAAAACAATATAGTCCATGATGTTGTTGTTCATCATCGACGTTATTTTGATCATCGATTGCCAACAAAAATAAAAATAAAATAAAAAAATTTATTCATTCTTAGAATTATTTTAAATTTTTAAATATTTCTTCAGTGACTTATGATTTCTTTTTATATTTTATGCAATATTATTACATTTATTTAATTTTTTAAGAATTTTTTCTTCAATAATATTTAGTTTTATATTTTTATTACTTCATATATTGATGAAATTCTTGTCTATTAATTATGTTTATTGAAATTAGTATATCACAGATTGAAGAAGAAGAAAAAAATTAGAGGTCATCTTTTGGGCCACAAAATACAGCATTAGACTAAAGATCGTGTTTGTTACCCATTATTTGGGAAGAATGTATTATGAATTAGCGATTGATGTTGAAATGTGTGGTTAAAAAAGAAGGAAATTTTTTTATTTACGTGTAATATTATTTTAATAAAGAATATGTTGTTGAAAATGAGTACTGTAGAAAAAATAATGGGAAAGAATGAGAGAAAATGGATGACAAACACGGGCCTATTCTCTTTTTTTTTTTTTTTTTTTTTTTTTTTTTTTTTTTTTAAAAAATCTTTTTGGTAATTGAATAATTGTTAGGACTGTGAATTTTAAAAGTTTAATTTGTAGGCTGTGAAATTATTCCGAGTCTTTGACACTTTCAGTTGCCTTCGATGCTTTTGTCAAAATCTGATAAAAACAGAGGCATCTCAAGCAATTTTGTAGTTGTAAGCGAAATCGTCGATGTGCTTTTCAAGAACAATAATAAAAAGAAAAAAATCGATGAATTAAACAATCAACGATGAAATATTCATCTCTGATACAATGATGGTTGGTGATTCTGATTGAAATTAATATTTGTTAGTTATTTAGATAGAATTAATTATTGCTACCATTAATGATTGCGATACCATTAATGTTAGTTATCAGCAGCAATATTATCGGGAATCACCAATAATTTAGCTATAAACAAGAAGAAGCAGGTGGTCACCCAAGATATTATTTTTGGCGATTCTAAATAAAATCAATATATCTTTTGGTGATTCAAATAGAATTTTCGATTAGAGTTTATATTTTTTCATTTTATTTATCAAATTTCTTTAGTAAATTAAAATTGTTAAGCTTTTTAAGTTCTTAATAAAACTAACTAAAAGACGTTCATGATATATAGGGTCCGTTTGGTATGATTTTTACTTTTATTTCTTGTATAAGCGCTTTTGGAAAAATTAACTTAACTTTTTATTTAAAAGCATTTCCCATTTCGAAAAGCGTTTTTAGAGGAAGTCACATTAAACCAACTTTCTCTAAAAGCATTTCTAACTATAAAAAACACTTTAACAGAATTAGTAGACAGATCCAAAAGCAGCTTTTGGGCCTCAAAAGCTTTTTTTGCCTTTTCAAAAGTCTTGACAAATGGACTCTTAATTTATGTTTTTAATGTTAGTAATTATTGATGAAAATGTTCATACAAATTAAAGTTCAAAATATGTAAATGTCAAAAAATTGGGGCCTTTGATAAATAGGGGACAACCGTCTAATACTTAGTGTGTGTTTGAGTCTTATTATTTTGAAAAATTTATTTTGAGCTAATAGATTGATGATAAATAGGGGACAACCGTCTAATACTTAGTGTGTGTTTGAGTCTTATTATTTTGAAAAATTTATTTTGAGCTAATAGATTGATGGAAAATATGTGGTTAAAAAATGAGGAGATATTTTGGATTTGCGAGTAATATTATTTTATTGGAGAATGTGTGGTTGAAATGATATTCAATCACTGTTCAAAAATGTTATTTTTGAAAGAATATGGCTCAAACAGGCCTTAAGTTGAATATGCTATTAATACTAATTTTAGTTTTTTGCTTATATGTAAGAGCATCTCCATCTTTAAATATGAGATGCTATATATTTTAAAAAGTCAACTTTTAAAATCATATTTCAAAAGACTCTTTAAACTAACATTTTAATTTATAGAGTGTGTTAGAGCCAAATCCACTCTTTATAATTAAATGCATTCAAAATATTTCAATTTTCAATATAGAAAAATAATATTCCTTCCATCTCATTTATTTATAGAGTAGCTTCCTTTTCTTATTTACTTGTCCTAATTATATAATCTCGTTTCTTTCTTAAAAATGTTTTGTTTTGTTCGTTTACTAATTACCCTTACTTAATATTTCTAGTTATATTCAATTTCTCTCATTTAATCTTGAAATTGTACAAGTATAAATAATGGTAAATTAGGAATGTTTTTAGCAAAATTTGCTCTTTCAATCACATTTTAAAAAGATTTTATAATCCATGTGAAAAACAAAATAAACATATATAAGTGGGACGGAGGAAGTAAAATAATCTAAAGAAGAGCTAGTTAAAATAAAAAATAGAGAAAAATAATAAATATTTTCTGAAAGTAGTAAAAATAAGTATTAAATATAAAGAACTTTTTAGGGCACTTCAAAATTTTAACTCTCTGAATTTATAAATGCTATTCAAATGATATAATATGCTCTTTAAAAATAAAGAGTCTTTTATAGATGCACTAATATAATTGTACCAATCAATCCAGTTTAGAATTGATATAATATTCAATTTCTATCGAGAGGTGTATGCTTTTCATTAAATTTTATTTTTGTTGTATTTTTATTTCGTTAAGAACTTTCTTATGTCTTGTATAAGCAAGAAAAATCTCTTTATGCAATGGAAAATTATAAGAATCATTTTAAATAAATAAATAAATAATTAAATCCTAACCCAATTTGGGAATATAACTTAATTGAGTATTATTAAAAGATATCTTAAAAGTTAATGATACATTGAAGGTATTTATTAATTTGTTAAAATGTCATTTTTTACTCTTTGAATTTTCAGTTTTCTTTGAAATCAAAACAAAAGGAGAGTGATATCAGAACAAAATGTCATATTTTCGCCATAATTAAAACTCGAAAGGCATCAATTGAGACCTTGGAAACGTTTTCTTAAATACGTTACTATGTCCTTTTTATTAAAGCTTTTGCTTCAACAATTTTGATTTTGACATGTAAAATTAATTGCTTCTTAGAATGCAATAAAATCTAGAACATATATAGTTTATTGTCACGATCAATAATAAAAGTTTAATTATCGTCTCGATTTTGTATACTTTGCTTGAATTAATCTAGTTGTAACAAATTTTCTAAACAAACTAAGTGTTGGCCATTGATTTGAAAACTGTTTTTGAAATGATTGGCTTAAATGTTGTCAATACATCGTTTGTAAACCAAATCTGTCAACCTAGTTTGTAGAAATAGCATAATTCGCTTTGCTCATAACAAATTATTATTAGCATTTTGCATCTAAAAATCAAACATTCAGCTCTACCATTAATCTTTCAGTTACAAATTAAAGACGTGATATCTCATAATATATAATTAGAAGAGTAATGCTTATCCTTGATTCGTCAATTTCAAATTTAATTTTTTTACTTGTATATAATTGAACCGTACTATTCATTCTAGTTTATCAATTGGATTTCATCCACTCCTGCACGAACCTTTCTTTCGTTAAGTACTCAATTTTTTGTTACTTTTTTCCATTCTTCTCTTGGGGTTTTCAAGAACTTTTTGTATATATAAGGGAGTAGTAAGCCAATTTGGTGGAAAAACCTAATTGGGTATTTTGGTAAAGTGGTTGGTAATGTATAAGGTGACTTTGGGTGTGTCCTTTAGCTTCATACACATGACATCTCTTGTACGCATTGCTTTAATAAAGGTCCCTCTAACGGTATCTAACTACCTTGACTTCTCATTTAAACCAAAAACAATACAAAATGTGTCATTGAAGGCAATTTTGGTTAGTCCTCTTTCCTTATTGGATTTGATAAATTTTCCTTAAAGAATATCTTGCATTTTGACTGTTCTCCAAGAATGCAATTTTTTTGTAGCATTTGTCTAGCAAAATTTATAAATTTGATTTAACTTCAATTTCAATTACACATTTTAATAGATTCATAATTGCTATCCACTTATCTCTATTTATTTTTAATCTGTTACTGTCTCCGTCCCATCAAGATATGCTTATTTCTATTTTTCACACTGATTAAGAAAATGTAATTACTATATCTGAAAATATAAATTCTTCTTATATTTTCTTACTATACACCCGCACATTAAATACTATTTAAATAATATTAATTTATATTTGTTGATAACAAGGTACATTAAATATACAGATACTTTTCCATTAATTCTCTTCGATATTATCTTCGTAATCACATGCTAAATATGTGGATATTTAAAGCAAATTAAATATGTAGATTTATTTTTTTGGGTTAATTCTCTCGATATTGTCTTCTTAGCCACAGCTAAATTAATTAAATTATTAATTTTTTGAAAGTATTAAATTTTAATCATAAAATTAAAGTATTAATCTTATTACTTACTGGCATGACTATACTAATTTAATAGGTATTTAAAAACTAATAGACTATAGATTCCTAAATATTAATTTCACCATAGTTGGCACGCAATTCAGCATTGAAAAACTGAGTATACAGATCTCAAAGGCAATTGATGACATTTGTTGAGATGGTTCCCAAATTTCAATGAAATTGAACTTACATACATTAGTGCATTTACTTGTCTGAAAAAGACGTTCAAACTTTATAAATGATTACTATTGCATTGTTTTGGGTACAAAAGTAATGCTTACACACTAAGGTAATATCTAAACTACGCTTAATATGTCACGATAAAATAAGTCCTATTCTCCTATTTAGTTTAGACAAAAATCAAAATTTAAATAGATTTTGATTAAAAAAAATGATCGAATCTATGGTTGAAAAGTTGTCAATCCCATGAAATTTGTTGTTAAAATTAAGTGTCGACTTTGAATTGGATTTCAACCCACTTTTTTAGTGGAACCAAACAAGAGCTAAATGTTAACACAACTAATATGATAGACTTGTCAATGAATAATACAAAAGATGATTTTCTTGAAAAGAACATGTTCGCTCATTACCATATATGTATTATTTTAAGTTAAATGATATTAAATATGACAATCAAGTTACACTGACCGAAAATGATTGACATGCAACCTGATTGAAAACTCACAATAGGAGGGGCCCACCTTTTTTTTTTTAGTTTTTAATGCACGCAGGTCCCGCACATATTGTGAGTATACGTCAATGTTTCTGTCAACATAGATTAATTCTAACACATGATTATAGAAGAAGCACATATGGGATTAATACACAAGAAAAACTAATAAAACACATGATTTCATTGGACGAACATTTTATATTTCCAACATATACTCCATATGTGATCGAACAAGATCAAGGAGTATAAACACGTAAGCTTTCTACACAAGAAAATTAAACAGAAATATTAAAATTTCGGGATGAATATGTTGCAGATGATTACACGAAATAGATAAGTGAAATTTGTACATAAATTTCGAAGATTCTTTAAAGGAACATGTATCGTGAATAAGATGTTCAATAAGTTAAAACTGAATAAGAATAAAGAAGACATAAAAACAAACTTGTTATTCATCAAAGTAACCAAGTGACTTTGTTATTAAGTGGAGTATTTTCTTTTCCAAAGTCATTAACTTTTTATCCAATTCTCTAACAAATATTTAGCCAAAAGGTACTTATTTTTGACAAATTAGATTATAATTAAGTTCCGTGTAAGAAAAGGTGAGCCCCGCGACCCCACTAAAATTTAGACCTCAAGGCCCAACCCCAACCCAAATCCCTTGCCTCCGTCTTTATAAAGCAGTTGCAGCTTCTCCAATTTTTCATGCACACCACCAAATACTCCGTTTTCCGGGCCACGAAATCCCTATAAATATACTTTGATCCTCGAAAGAGGCAAAAGGGAAGAAGAAGAAGAAGAAGTGGAAAAGACAACCTGACATTCTCTATTTTCCTTTTGTTTCTGATGTTCTTTTCTATGCAAAAATCGAGTGTAAAGTGATTTCAACAACAAAACGACAAAACTGACCCAAACCCAGAAACCAGATTGTGAACAAAAAGAAAACCATGGGTTTCATGTGGAAAATTCTATTGATTCTAGTTTTTCTTACATTTGCTTGTTCGTCGGTTAGAGCCACTGTCTCGTATGATGATAAAGCTTTTATTATTAATGGGCGAAGAAAGATTTTGATTTCTGGCTCCATTCACTACCCAAGAAGCACTCCTCAGGTAACATAGCTAATGTCTCAGTTCTTGCATATATGTCCATTCAAATCATAATAACTCTGACGCAAAGTGGGTAAAAAAGAGAAATAGAGTAGATGGACATGGGCCCTACTAATGAATTTCTCCTTTTCTCCTGTTTTTACCATAATAATATTGTTTGTTTTCTTGTTTTTATGTATATAGATGTGGCCTGATCTTATAAAGAAGGCTAAAGATGGAGGATTGGATGTTATACAGACTTATGTATTTTGGAATGGGCATGAACCTTCTCCTGGGAAGGTATGGCAAGAAAAATCTCAGATTAACTTTTCTTAATTAAGTTTTGTGCAAAAATGAGTATTTAATTTTGGATTTAATTCAATTTTTACAGTATAATTTTGAGGGAAGGTTTGATCTTGTCAAGTTCATTAAGCTGGTGCAACAAGCCGGCCTCTATGTTCATCTCCGCATTGGCCCCTATGTCTGTGCAGAATGGAACTTTGGGTAATAATCTCACACAAATAGACTTGCAAATTCTGTCTTTAGATTTTCTCGACCGAATAGAGTAGATAAAGTGGAGTTACGTAGTCGATCCTATATTCATTGTAAAAAAGAATAATAAATAAATAAATATTGTCTTAGTCAAGTTTAGATTTTCTCGACTGACTAGAGTGGAGTTATGTAGTCGACCCTATATTTATAGAAAGAAAGATTTAAATATTGTAATCGTCTAGGTTTGCTCAAGTCAAAATCATTTACGAGGCAACTCGTTTCGTACTCGCCTTGTGATTGGTTTATAGGTCCAAGTGGCTAATTGCACTTTAGATGGAATGACTATATATTTAATTTACATAAGAGGCATGAGATCATTTGCTCTGTTTTCGCAAGTCCAAATCATTGGGAAATAGAGTGGCGAAAATGGATTTATGTAGTCAACCCTATATTTATTGAGACAAATACTTAACTTCGTCGTAGAATATGTTTGTGCAAGTCCAAATCATTTACGAGGCAACTCGTTTATCACTTGCCTTGTGGTTATTTCATAGTTTTAATTAATATGTATAGTTTTAATTCATCTTTAATGTAGATAAGAGGCATATGATCATTTGCTCTGTTTTATGCAGGGGATTTCCCGTTTGGCTAAAATATGTACCAGGAATAGAGTTCAGAACCAACAATCAGCCCTTCAAGGTGCGTAAATCCTTGTGGCGTACTATGAGAAGAATAGTTTTTCGTTACTTCATAGTTAATTCATCTGTTTTCCTGTCGACTATGTTTAAGGTGGCTATGCAAGGATTTGTTCAAAAAATTGTGAATATCATGAAGTCAGAAAAATTGTTTGAGCCTCAGGGAGGTCCAATAATTATGTCACAGGTTGGATAATATTATGATCTCTTTTTAATTTGTCATCATCCTTCATTTATGCATTGAAAATTGTTGTTTTAATCCAATAATGCAGATAGAAAATGAATATGGACCTGTTGAATGGGAAATTGGTGCTCCTGGTAAGGCTTATACAGCATGGGCTGCAAATATGGCTGAGGGACTTCACACTGGTGTTCCATGGATCATGTGCAAACAAGAAGATGTCCCGGCTAATATTGTAAGCAATTCTTAGTTTTCCAGTCATTACTTATTTTTGATGTCTTCACCAAGAACATGTTTGGTATGTAGTGAAAAAAAAAAAAATGGACTGATGTGCATAAAATCTATATCGTTTCATCATGTTGCAGATAGATAGTTGCAATGGTTTCTACTGCGAAGGCTTTCGTCCTAAAAATCCCAATAAACCCAAAATGTTCACTGAAAACTGGACCGGCTGGTAAGTTACCGATATCACAATCCCATTTTGGACTGATCAGGTTTTAGAAAGTTTGATATCCCCTGTTTCTCCCCTCTATTTCCCTTAGGTATACACAATATGGTGGTACAGTTCCTTACAGACCTGCAGAAGACTTGGCGTTTTCAGTGGCTCGGTTTGTCCAGAATAATGGTTCATTCTTCAATTATTATATGGTTAGTTGTTATTCATTCTTTTGTAAAGGATTATACATGTATTTTTTAGTCAAGATATCTAATGTGTTTTACTGAAATATTTGGCGGTCCCCAGTACCATGGAGGAACCAATTTCGGCCGAACAGCAGCTGGTCTTTTCGTTGCCACAAGCTACGATTATGACGCTCCGTTAGATGAATATGGTATGCTCCAAAACCCACATAATGGATTTCAATGGTCATATTTTTTAGTTGTAGCTTATGGATTCTCGTCACAATGAATTGGTCTACTGTGCACCAGGACTACCGTCTGAGCCAAAATGGGGGCACTTAAGAAATTTGCATAAAGCAATCAAGCAATGTGAACCAGCTTTAGTTTCATCATATCCAACCGTAACCTGGCCGGGGAAGAATCAAGAGGTAACCTAGATATGGCTTTCTCAAATCCAAGTATACATGTAGCTTGTGTAATTGAAACTGAACTGCAATACTAATCTGCCTTGTTTGCGTCCATCTAGGTTCACGTATTCAGATCAAAATCCGGGGCTTGTGCTGCTTTCCTTTCGAACTATGACCCTACATATTCTACCAAACTGATGTTCCAAAACCATCCATATGATCTGCCTGCTTGGTCCATCAGTATTCTACCAGACTGCAAAACTGAAGTATACAACACTGCAAAAGTAAGCAAAAAGGTTCCTTAACGATTGTAAAAATAATAATTTTCTTTATTGGTCAAGAATAATATAATGTTTTAACGGTTGATGATGTCTTGATTATTCACAAAGCAAAAATATATCAATTCTTTCAAAACTTTGTTTATTTCCTAGAAAATTAGCATATTGAAGCAAATGATTTTCAAGAATGAGATTGTAATTTTCAATGTCTTCGGCTGCAGGTTACCGTACCAAGCTCAAAGGCGAAGATGACACCTATAAGTAGTGGATTATCATGGCAGTCGTACAATGAAGAAACTCCTTCGGCTGATGACAGTGATGCACTTGTAATGGATGGTTTACACGAGCAAATAAGCGTTACCAGAGACTCCTCGGATTATTTATGGTACATGACAGAGTAAGTGTATAACCAAAAATCCACAGAGTTTTCCTTGATGCAAGTTGGAAAATCATTTTTCAACATCTTCATTTACTGCATTTCTTGTTGCCGAATACAGCGTCACTGTAGCATCTAATGAAGGATTTCTAAAGAGTGGAAAATGGCCTCTTCTCACTGTCATGTCTGCTGGCCATGCCTTGCATGTTTTCATCAATGGCAAGTTAGCAGGTAACTAAAACTTCGACCTATTGCTTAAAGCCGCCAAATACCATTGAGTATAATGTTCTGTATTCCTGATTCTATGATAGGAACCACTTATGGGAGCTTGAATAATCCAAAATTGACATTTAGCGATTACGTGCATTTAAGAGCTGGTGTCAACAAAATCTCTTTACTCAGTGTTTCTGTCGGTCTTGCGGTTAGTTTCTGCTCTGTACACTTGCTTTAATATTACTACAAGTTTCGATCAAGCTCTTACTATTCTAGTTCTATTCTATTTACCACAGAATGTTGGCGTGCATTATGAGAAATGGAATACTGGAGTGCTCGGTCCTGTCAGCTTGAAGGGACTCGATGAGGGCACAAGAGACTTGACGAAGCAGAAATGGTCTTATAAGGTTCGTGCTTCGAGTTTTAACTTTTCTGTGAAACGAATATGAGACATAAAGCTTTTGGATTGATATTTGAGAAACAATAACGTGAATAGGTCGGTTTGAAAGGTGAAGCATTGAGCCTTCATACTGTCACCGGAAGCTCCTCGGTTGAATGGATACAGGGATCAAAATTGGCTCAAAAGCAGCCTCTTACCTGGTACAAGGTAAACTAGCGTATATCGACAGTTTTTCTTTCTTTCTTTCGAGTCGTGTAGGCGATTAACATATCTGTTGGGGTCATTACAGGCTACCTTCAATGCACCAGCAGGAAATGATCCATTAGCTTTAGATATGATAAGCATGGGAAAAGGTGAAATATGGATAAACGGCGAAGGCATAGGCCGACACTGGCCTGGTTATATAGCGAAAGGGAACTGCGGGGCCTGTAATTACGCCGGTACATTCAAAGAGACGAAATGCCAAAGTGGTTGTGGACAGCCTTCTCAGAGATGGTAAGGCATATTTTCACACTCACTTGACAACAATATTATGAAAAATTGGATCTTTAACCGAAACTGTAAATTTCAGGTACCACGTTCCACGTTCGTGGTTGAAACCTAGCGGAAATCTGTTGGTCGTATTTGAAGAATGGGGCGGTGATCCGACGAAAATTTCATTGGTCAAGAGAACTGCAGAATGGGGTGGTGATCAGACTAAACTTTCATTGGGTAAGAGAACTGCATAACGAGTACGAAGAAGTTATAAATTCCCGTAGTCATCGAATAATGAAGGATGATATACATAATCATTGGCAAATAAATACTCGAATACAGGATCGAAATTTCGAAAGGCCTGGCCTGGATTGGTCTTGGTTTGAGGGGAATGAAAAGTTGTACATTTATTACATTCTCCATTATAGGAAATGATACAGATATATTTAGGATTGAGTTGAATGTAATAATACTGCTTATAGAAATGTATGTTAGTTCTGTTATTACAGATATAATAAAAAAATTATTTTTATATCTACTATCTATCATCGCACTGCCGCATAGATCTTCTGTATTTGAAATCAGATGGCTTGAGACAGAGAAGGCGCAAAGGATTAGCTTCAGTTTGCAACAGATGATACTATACCATCACCTGCAAAAACATAAATTATGAATGATAAACCAAAGAACTAAACTAAAAAGGGGGAAGGGGGGAGGGGGGTGAGAGAGAGAGCCAGCAAACTCAATAACTGAAGACCAATAGCGAAAGACTGGAGGCGGAGAGGCTAGCTTCATCGACAGTTGACGGCCGACAGTAGGGTAAGGCTGGGTGATTGGGAAGTGGGACGCTGGGTAGTAGGTGTGACTTTTGAGACTTCAAAGGGATAGGGTTTGCATTTTGCAAAATGGAAGCCGATTGCATTTGATCCCATATAACTTATAAGATTGGGCATTTGGTTGGACTTGGGTCTCTCTCTTTTCTGTTATTAGGCCTCTTGTATTAAAAAAAAAAAAAAAAAGGGTCCAATCTTGAGTCTATCATTTGCAACCCCCAGCTTGTGATTTCTGATTCATTTCCGCCATGGTTGTGGCTCCTCTCCCAACTGGCGACGTCGACTTCGTTAGAGTCAGGCCGCACGGCCACACCCCCTCAACAGGTGCTGACTCCGTCACTATTTGTCATGGCACTTCCCTTAACATCATGTATGAACCTTGTAAAATCTTCTATGCCTACACCCACCCCATAAACTATTATCACAACGGTGGGCCTTCTACACCCCTTTACCAAGACAACTATCCTAAGGGTTATGTTGACAACATTCATTATCCTTCTAGGCAAGTTACTTTTACGATTGTGGGACTTTGATGGTTGGACTGATCTAGAGTCATTTTGGATTTACTCAATAATCTTGAAAGTTCTTTGCCTTTCACAACTTGAGTGATTCCAGTTGAATTTGTCATGCTAAAATGTCATAATTTGAGCCTGCTAGGAGTTATTTGAAATCGTTTTTTATGTAATCATCTAAGTCAATGTCTTGTTACTGTGTGAGACTAGATGAAATGGATTTTAAGTAACAAATATGCCCCGGTATATTATCAAATTCAATTTTTAAATCAATACTTGTTGCAATAGAGGCAAAGTACGTCTATTGTTAGTGAATATATAGGTGCTACCGTATAATTTGTTATATTTATAAAACTCTGTCTACAGATAAGGAAAAAAATGTTTTGCTGCACTAGAAATGATAATGTGCTACTGCACCAAATAAAGTGAAGAACATGAGAGAAAAAATGAGGAGTTGGTACTGAAATTGATGATTTTATTCATTGACCCACAGCCTTTATATGGGCAATTACAAAAAACTGATTCTAATAAACTAAGCAAAAGAAAAGTTACCATAACAGTCACTTTCTAAACAACTCTAACCACTAAGCAAAATGACTATAGACTCGGACAAAATACAAACTAATAGTAATCAATTTAAATAAATAATTCTTAACACCCTCTCTTAAACTAATATCCACAGAAATCAGTTTAAGAAGAAATTCAAAAATATGAAAAATGACATCCTGCGAAGAACATACTCCTAGCATTCTTCTTAGCTTTACAAACACTGCTTGCATAAGCGGTTTAGTCATAATATTAGCCACCTGCTCTTCACTCTGGTTGAACATTACATCAATTGTACCATCATTGCAGGAATCACAAAAAAAAAAAAAAAATGATATATCACATCCATATTTTTGCTGCTTCCGTTCAGAACTGAATTTTTTGAAATTTTGATAGCTAAAACAATATCACAGTGTATGATTGTTGGACCTTTCTACTGGTTTTGAAGTGTTTCCAGTAGCCTCCTCAGCCAGACAACTTGACAAGAGCTTGAGGCTACTGCAAAAAATTCAGCTTCTGTTTTTGATAAAGTTACAATTTATTGTTTCTTTGATGACCATGACACAGCTCCAGAACTCATCAGAAAAACAAACCTAGTGTAATTTTTCTATCATCAAGATCTCCAGCATAATCACTGTAAAAAAAACCAAACAAAATTTCCTTTGTTCCTGCTGTACACAGAATTTCATAGTCAAAATGTACCTTTCAAATAGCGAAAGATCATTTTTGCAGCTAAGAGATGATTCTCAGTTGGATTCTCCATATATCGGCTAATTAAACTAATACCATGCATGATGTTAGGCCTTGTTGAAGTTAGATACATCAAACTTTCAACTATTTGCTTGTAAAATGTGGCATTTATCTTTTTTATTTTTATTTTTTTTTTCCCTCTGTCATTTTGCGTCAAATTTATCCCACATTCAGTTGGTGTGCTAACTGGAGTGCACTCCTTCATTTTGAACCTGTCTAGTATCCCAAGAGCATAACTTTTCCATCAAATAAAGATACCAATAGATTATTGCACAACTTTAATACCAAGAAAAGAAAAATGCATTAATCCCAAATCTGACATATCATATTCACTCATCATATTTTTCTTAAAAGCATTAATCATAGCACTATCATTACCAGTATATATCAGATCGACAACATAAAGGCACACAACAAGCATTTTTCCATCATTTCCTAGCTTTGTAAAATGCTTATATTCGTGAGGACATTTAAGAAACCCTTATCTTGAGAAATAAGCATCTATACGACTATATCAAACTCTTGGTAATTGCTTTAGTCTATATAATGACTTTTTTTAGTCTGTATACCTTACTCTCACTGCCTTGTTTCACATAGCCAAGGAGTTGTTCAACATATACCTTCCAGCAGCTCACCATGTAAAAATGCTGACTTCACATCCAATTGATAGATAGGCTACGAATTGAGAGCAACAATGTATAACACCAATCGAATTATGTCAAGCCTTACGACTGGAGTAAACACCTCTTTGTAATCAACGCCAAATTCTTGTTTGTACCATTTTACAACAAGTCGGGCTTTGTACTTGTCAACTCCTCCATCTTTATTCAGCTTTGTTTTATACATCCATGTAACGTCAATCGATTTCTGCCCTTTCGGAAGTTCTACCAATTCCAAAGTGTTGTTTTTCTCTATAGACTTGATTTCCTCATTCATGACTTTTTACCATTTTGAATAGTTGACTGCTTATTGGAATGTAACAAGATCACAATCGGTAAATAAAGCAATGTGAGTAATTGGATCTTCGGTTTGGTCAATTTCAACTACTTCATAATAAGTCATCCATAAGGGCCTCTTTCGAAACGACGATGATGTAATTCAGCTACTGTATTAGTAGCTTCTGTTGCTGTTTGTGAAAGAAATTTCAACAGTTGTAGGAGCTTCGTTTGATGGATTTTCGGGCACTAAAGCTCTTGGAATTTGTTGTTGTATGGATGCTACATTTCTTCATCATTTTCTTCATTAAAAATAATTGAACCAGGCTGCTGCATATTCCAATCCCAAATTCTTTCTTCATAAAAAATGACATCTTTGGTGGTAATAATTTTCCTTGTCAGTGGGTTGAACAATTTGTATACGTTCGTTACTTCGCTTACACCAAGAAAGACACACCTTTCACCCTTATCATCAAGCTTCTTCCTCTTCTCATCTAGGACATGTGCATAGACGATGCAACCAAAAATTCTGAAGTGATATACATCTGATTTGTGTCCACTCTAAGCTTCCTCAAGTGTCATGTTCCGAAAAAAAAAAAAAAAAAAAAAAAAAAAAAAAAAAAAAAAAAACAGAAATTCTGCTCAACACATGAATGCTCCAATTTACTATTTCGGGCTAGAAATATTTAGGAATTTTCCCTCTTGCCAACAAGCTTCTCACCATGTTAAGGATGGTTCTATTTTTCCTCTCTGACACACCATTTTGTTGTGGTGTGCAGGCAACTATGAGTTCCCTTCGAATACCATACTTATCACAAAAAACATCAAATTCCTTTGAACAATATTCTCCATCATGATCAGTGCGAAGAGATTTAATGACATTTTCTGGAGAATTGAAGCTTTTAACTGTACTAAAAAGCTTTTGACTTTTCCTGAAAAAAAAAAATAAACCCATGTTTTTCAAGAATAATTATCAATGAAGTTAAGAAAATATCTTTTACCCCCATATGAAGGTGGATTTATTGGCTCACAAATATCTGAATGAACTAGCTCCAAAACATTTTTGCTCTCCATGACTTTCCTTGAGGAAATTGAGAACGGTATTATTTTCCAACAACACATTCTTCACAAACTTTACAAGGAGTGACAATTTGAGGAAGACATGTCACCATATATTTCTATTGAAATGTCCTTAATCCACCAATGTTCAAATTACCATAACGAAAAAAGTAATGTTATTCATAGTCGATCACTGCGGTAGTCACCTTACATGGTATTCTACATTGCGGTTTGTGATTTGATGTATTAATTTGATAATTTCTTCTTGCCACATATATCAAATCACTCACCATCACATGTGTGCCACATAAGATGATTACAATAGTGAGTGATTGTAAATAGTATTATTCTAACGAAAATACCAAAGCCATGAAGGATTTTTTATTCCAGCCATCAAACAAGGTTGAGCAGTTTCAATCTTCAAGGGAAACAACCTGTTTGAACTTATTTGAATAGCAACAATAGCTCCTCTAAAAGGAATATATATCTCACAAACACCAAGTTGGATAGTTATTACATAACCTTTTCTTGCAATTAACTAGCACTTTACTGGTTACTTTTCAAATCAGAAACATAAAAGACATTGGAAATTGTTTCTACAAAATCGTTCTTAGTTCTAATATAGATCCTCCCGTCATCTGCCTTTTCCATGAAATTTATCATTATTTTGATCATTTGGCTGCTGCCTGCTATAGTTGCCATCCTTATTACCTTGATCTCCCTTTCTTCCTTTACCTCTTTCTCGAGAATATGAGGAATGGTTAAGGGTAAAAGCCTTTAAAGCTTGCTCCTCTGTAGATGAATTTCGATTCGTCTTTTGTTCATGGACCAGCAATGAGCTCTGGAGTTAAAGGGCAACTATGTCTTTGGATTCTTCAATTGAGCAAATAACGTAATCAAACTTCGGAGCTAAAGAACGTAGTATCTTCTCAACGATGGCAACATTGTCCATCTTCTCACCATTGAATCGCATTTTGTTGGCTATTTCCATAGTCCTTGCACAATAGCTGGTCATAGATTCATCATCCTTCATTTGTAAAGTCACAAACTCCCTTCTCAAGGCTTGAAGTTGTGCTTGCTTTACTCTGGAGGAGCTTTGATATTTTTCTTCATTGAATCCCAAATATCCTTAGAAGTTTCTTTGCTGAGAATAGTTTCAAGGATAGATCGATCAATGGCTTGGAACAAATAATTTTTTGCTTTCAAATCTTTCAACTTCAGCCCCTCCAACTCTGTTTTTTGTGCATCTGTGAGTGCCACGCCATTACCAAGTGCTGTAGGTGCTGCTACATCAGATTCAACAACATGCCAATACTCCTTAGATCTTAAGAAGTTTTTCATAAGCATGCTCCAATGGTTATTATGACAGTCAAAACGCGGAATGACTGGATGTACAAAATTTTAAGAAGCCATTTGTGCACCCTTCGTTCAGTCTCTCTCTTCTCCCTCTCTCTCTTTTAGCTCTGATACAATTGTCTACAGATAAGAAAAAAACAATGTTTTGCTGCACTAGAAATGATAATGTGCTACTAGACCAAATAAAGTGAAGAACAGGAGAGAAGAATGAGAGGAGTTGGTACTGAAATTGATAATTTTATTCATTGACCCGCAACCTTTATATAGGCAATTATAAAAAACTGACTCCAATGAACTAGGCAAAAGAAAAGCTACCACAATAGTCACTTTCTAAACAATTCTAACCACTAAGCAAAATGGCTATAGACTTGGACAAGCTCGCCACGTTACAAATTCTAGGTTTCTTGGTGGTCTGAATTCTGAAATCTTGCTCGAAGACATTCTCGCACCCAGTCCTCAGATGAATCTATAAATTTCTTGTTTATACAGTTTCTGA